AGAGAGAGAGAGAGAGAGAGAGAGAAAGAGAGAAATATCCAAGATGACTCCGAAGTATTTAACTTGAGCAATGGAGTGACCATTTACTGAAGTGGGGAAGACAATTTATGTAAAGTGCTTAGAATAGATTTTGGCACAAAATAAGTGTTCAATAAATATTAGTTATTCTTTGTATTGATGACTTTGGTTTCCTGGGTTACCTCAACTCTGTCACCCAAGGCTTTGCTAATGTTGAGCATACCTGGCAATAACACCGTAGGCATCATGCTTGAGCACGTATTGTGTGCCAAGCACATGATTGACAGAATCTTTACTTAGCAGTACCACCCTGCATGGTGTAAGAAAGCCCTATGAGAAAATGAACACTTTTAAAATTTTTAACATATTCCAGGTCTTGAGCATTTTTCATTGAATCCTAGCTCCAGCACTAGAATGTAAAACTGCATGAAATCTTATAGCTCTTGTGTACTACTGCACGTGCCTGACACATAGTAGGCACATTAATTAATATTTATTAAATGAACCTCCATTATTATAGATGGAAGTTGAATAACTTCCCAAGGCAGAGCTGGGTTTTAATAAATATCTATTGGATAATAAATATTTGCTGGACAAAAATGCATGTTACATTTCCGTTTTAGAGAACAGGAAACGGCTGGTGGCAGACCAGAGATTTGGACCCAGGATTTCCTGATCCCTGAGCTTGGATCTTTTCTATGGCCACACTATGGGGCCTCATGTACCCTCTGACTGAGGGATTTGATGACCCTGATTACACCATAACATGTTAGAACCCAGGCTACTCAGAGAAAGAGCTAATGCTAGATCAGATTGTAAAGCTCTAGGACTCTAGTAATATGAGCCTAAATTTTTGTCTTTATGTAACTGCATGACCTTAAAGCATTCATTTTATCTAATTTGCCCAAGGTCACACAAGCTGTAAGGGAAGGAAACAAGATGTGAATCCAGTCTTCCCTCACCAGGGTCCCTGTTTGTTCTCCTCTCAGGCATTCTTCACCTGAGGCACAGGGTCTCTTAGGGAGTCCCTGGATGTACTTTACGGTACCTTCTTCCCACAACATTGTCTACTGAACTGAGTGTGCTTGAAAGCAGGTGCATTTTTTTGGGGGGAAAGGGTTCATAGCTTTTATTATATTCTTAAAGGGACCTATGATCAAAAAGTTTACTTTTTTTAAAAAAAAGATTTTATTGGGGAATTGGGGGAGGGGAACAGCGTTGGGGAATTGGGGAAGGGGAACAGACAAGTTGGCCTTTTGTTCTTCAGTCTAGCTGTGGAGGATGTCGCTTCACTGGCCCATGTTGGGATTATCATTGCGCTCTTCCGTGGGGGAGGCAGTCGCTCGCTGGCCATTGGACGGCCACTCACACTGGCTGCTGGCTGCTCACACTGGCTGCCAGCCACTTACGGTAGCTCAGGGCAGGCCACTGCAGCAGGGGCTGCAGCCTACGCCATTGCTGACGACTCACAGCAGCCAGGCTCCAGGTTGAGCTGTTGCTCACCATCTTAGCTGTAGAGGGCGCAGCGTCACTGGCCCTCATGTGGGATCTGAACCTGGGCCCTGCTGCTCAGAGCTGGCGTCCCAAGCCAACTCTTAACTAACGCGCCACTCGGCTGGCCCAAAAGGTTTACTTTTATATATCTTATGTATCTATTTTTTTAACTTTTATTTAATTAATTTATTTATTTAAAATTGGGGAATTGGGGAAGGGAACCAGCCAAGTTGTTGTTCTTCCATCTTCCTTGTGGAGGGCGCCAGTCGCCATCTGGCTGCCCCTTGGCAGCTCGTGGCCTCTAAGCTCAAGGTGCTGTGTTCAATCTTAGTTGTGGGCGGGAGTAGCCACCATCCCATGTGGGAGTCGAACCAGCAGCCTTGTTGTTAAGAGCACGCTCTCTATTCACTGAGCCATCCGGGCGACAGCTCAGCTCAAGGAGCCGAGTTCAGTCTTAGTTGCATGCGGGCATAGTCCACCATCAAACAGGCAATCTTGTTGTTACAGCAGCTGAGCCATCCTGCCACCTGTTGCACCATCAGCGACAGCTCAGCTTGGGGCAGTGTCACTGGCCCATGCGGGAATCAAACCGGCAGCCCTGTTGCTCAGAGCTCACACTCTTAAGCCAAGTCTTAACCAACTGAGCCTCTCTACTGGCCCCCTAACTTTTATTTTTAAAGCTGTTTTTAGATGAGTAGAAGGAAGAAATGAGTATCAGAAGGGGTGAGAATCGTCCAGCCAAAATATAGCAGATGCCAATTTTTGTTTCCCTGTTGCCATTCATTCATTCACTCATGCATTCATTTATTCAGTAAATTTGCTGTTGAGCGCCTGCTATGTACCAAGCACCATTCCAGAATCTGGGAATGCTACAGTGGGACACTCTTGGCATCAAAGTTTATATCCTATCAGGAGAAACAAGACAATAAAGATGATGACGATTATTATGTCAGGTGCCATGAAAAAAACAACGCAGGATCAGAGAATGAGGAGGAATGGAAATGGCATTTTAGATAGAATGGTTTGTGCTGGGAACCTTCCGTTGCTGTCCACGGACTCCAAAAGAAAGGAGCCATCCGGATGCCAGGGTCTCCTCCACAAAACTTTCTTTTGCGCTTAGCCTCACCAGGGTGGGGACGGTAGGTGAAGGGAGTGCACACGGGAGGTGCAGAGCGCATGCTCCCTTCAGCTCCGCGGCTCCAACCTTTTTGACAAGGACAGAGTCCGCCCGGAGGAGAGTGCGCAGGCTCCTCAGGTTGAAAGGCGCCACCCAATAGGAACTTCCTTTGAGGTTGTGGTCCCGCCTCCACAGCCCATCTTTCTGCTTCCCTTCCGGCGCTGCAGTGATCCTTGTCAAAAATGGCGGCGGGAGTTGGGTCCCGGGTTTCTGGGCTGCTAGGTCGGTTCCAGCCACAGCTGGCGCGGCCCATGTCTGGTGGCGCCCACGGCGAGGAGGGCTCAGGTACGGGGGCTGTGGTCGGTGGGGCGGGCCTCAGCCCGACTCCAGAGAGGCGGCGCGGGACTGTGACCTTGGCTTGAGGCCTTGCGGGAGGGGGATGAGACCCGGGCGGGCCCCCGCCAGGCCTGAGCCCTCGTACCCCTCCGCAGCTCGCATGTGGAAGGCCCTCACCTACTTCGTCGCGCTCCCCGGGGTGGGAGTGAGCATGCTGAACGTCTTCCTGAAGTCGCAACACGGAGAGCATGAGAGACCCGAGTTCGTCGCCTACCCCCATCTCCGCATCAGGTCCAAGGTACGCTCTTGCAGCCTCTTCAAGTGTCCGTTCTCCTTTCATGCCAAATGCCTTTGTCCAGGTTCTTCATTCCCTAAAAGCGTGGATGCCGGGCGCGTAGAATTTCTCAGTATCTTCAGTTTTTATTTTTTTCCGGTTTTACGGAAGGGAAACAGGACGGGTGGTGGTGGAATCACGTCTCAGTTTTTTATTCAAAGCCATACAGTAGTTGCCCTTCGGTTTTCCTTTTCTCCAAATTCATCTCACCGTCTGCCTTCTGATAACGTTCTCAAACAGCTATCGGTTGTAGAAAGCTTGGAGGTTTGGGATATTGAGACAGGCACAGTGCGAAGGCGGTTCACCTTTTAGGACCTGGGCATGTATCTGTCTGGCAGGTATTAGCTGCATAATGAAGAAACTTAACAGTTTTTCTACTCCCCACCTCTATGCTAGTTATCGTAACTATTTTATCCTTTGGCTGTTGAAGTAGATATATTATAATCATGTGTTTTCCATTATTTACTGTGTTATTAACAAGAGCCTTTTCTGGTTCTTATATAACTGTTACATCACTTAGCCAGGTTGGAGTGACCTCATAGGAACTTAATCTTGATTTTTAGATTCAGGAAGAATTTTTGAGTTCTTGAGCCCCGCTCCCACCCTTGTACAGTAGAATTAGAAGCTGTACAGCAAGGTTTTTCAATTTCAGTACTATTGACATTTGGGTTTGGATAATTCTCATAGGGGTAGGGGGCTATCCAGTGAGTTGTAGGATGTTTAGCAGCATCCTTGACCTCTAACCACTAGATGCCAGTAGTACCCCACCCTCCCCTAGATGCCTCCAGATATTGCCCAGTATCCTTGGAGGGGCAAAAACATCCTGGGCTGGAAACCACTGCCCTAGAGCAATGCTTTTCAAAGGTAGCATGCAAAATAATCGAGGAGGGTAGGTTGCAGTTTCCAGTCCAGAAGTTTGTTTCGGGTCTGGAATGGAGCCCAGAAATCTGCATTTAACATATTCTCCCCGATACCCACCTCTGCCATTCTGATACAGGTGATTTGAGGATTCCATTTTTATAAACACAGCACTGATATACTAGTTATCAGGGAGAGGCTTATGAGTACTGAACTTGAGCTTGCTTTTCCTATTGTCTGCTTTAAGGGCTCTCCTGGAAGGTAGAAGAACTCCCTTAAATTCCGGGAAGGCTGAAATATGCCCGTAGTTAAAGGACTAACTTCCATTTTATTTTTATGTATTATCTGTCACTGTAGTTTAAGCAGTTTGTGGAAGTGCTGTTTTTGAACTATTTTCTGGAATATCCTAATTGACATCTTCACTCCACAGCCCTTTCCTTGGGGAGATGGTAACCATACTCTTTTCCATAACACTCATGTGAATGCGCTTCCGACCGGCTATGAAGATGAATAAAGAGAACCTGGACCACTACCCAGTGGGGACCACAGCACTGGTTTGGACCACTACTCTGGACACGGACCAGAAGTGTATGGGACCTTAAGCTGACCTTTCCTGTATCAAATGATGACCATTATACTGATCTTCCATTCCTTATGGCAGGAGATGGCTTAAATAAATAACTTTAGATTGGACATGAGCTGAGAGTTGCATTCTTTGGTGATGTTTTTCCCTCAGAAATTAGCATTAATGTTATTTCTGCTGTTTTCAGGTCCAATTCAGGCTTCTGAATAACAGTATTCTTAACAGGCCTGTCCTTGATTTCTAGTGCCTGGGGTGCATAAAGCAAAGGGAGTGGAGCCAGTTAAATATCAAGATTGGGTCCTGACAGACTTTGAATGGCAAAGACATTGAGTGGCCAGCAGAATGGCTCTATTTTACATGTAAAAGAGGTATGTATCTGTGATTCTCTAGTTAGTGCTTCCTGTATCCCAGCTTCTCAGAGTCCCATTCTACTGGCATTTGCTATAGTCAGATCATTTTCTCCGAAGGTGTCAACTTCTCACCTTGGTGTCATTTCTCAGCACCCTGAAGCATGGGTCAGAAACCTTTGGAGAAATAAAGGCAGTATCTTTGAAGTAGCCGAAATAGTTGGGAGGATGAAGTCAAAATAGCATGAGGATCAGAAACCATTATTCTCTCAGTAGCAATTACAAGAACATGGGTGGCTTGGAGCAGGTTTTATTCCCAAGGCTCAACCAGAAAGTTTTGTGGTAAGAGTCAAGCTACAAGCTTTTAGTGTTAGCACATACAGTAAACTGGTACTGCAAAGGTGAGGCATACAGAAACACAGGGTGTGAAAACCATTTACAGTAAGGAAAAAAGAACCACTGCTATCTTTGCCATTTTGTGATCTAACCACACAGCCTGTGCTTCCCTATAGAGCTGTTGTGCTTGTGGCCAGTTTGAGTTCAGGAGAGCTGTATTATTCTCCTTCAGCTGGGTTCCAAATATCTTATAATTCTTGTAGAATGGACCTTAAACAGTCAAAATGTAAATGCAGAATGCTTGTTATTTTAAAAGATTTTTATTGGGGAATTGGGGGGATGGGAACAGTGCTGGGGAATTGGGGGAAGGGGAACAGACAAGTTGCTGTCCTTTTGTTCTTCAGTCTAGTTGTGGAGGACGTTGCTTCACTGGCCCAAGTTGGCACCATCATTGCACTCTTCCCGGCTTAGGCAGATCAGTCGCCGGCTTCTGGGCGGCCGCTCACTGCGGCTGCTGGCCGGTCACACTGGCTGCTGGCTACACACGGTAGCCCATGGCAACCCACTGCAGCAGGGGCTGCAGCCTACGCCGTCGCCGGGGACTCACGGCAGCCCAGCTCCAGGTTGAGCTGTTGTTCAGCATCTTAGCTGTGGAGGGCAGTGTCACTGGCCCTCATATGTGGGATCCGAACTGGGGCCCTCTGGCATCCCAAGCCAGTTCTTAACTATCTCACCACTCGGCCGGCCCCAGAATGTTTTGAAATGACATTAAGGACTGGTCACATTAAATATGAATAACTGGTAGAGTGGAGAGAAGATAGAATTTAGGCCTTCTGTAAACCAAGTTTCATACTACCTTTGGGCACATAAATTGAACCAAATTACTCAAGATATGCAGTTGTGCGAATTAGATGATATTCTAAAGTATGTAAGTGCTCACCTGATCTTGACATTTGTGCCATTAGACATATAAAGATATTTGTGTAGCCTACTGTAGAAGTACATTTTAGAAGTCAGTGGGGTTTCTAATTGCTATACCATACTACCTTACTTAGAGACATCTTCACTTTTTCTTCACCTTTAAATTATAAAACAGAAAACTACCCTGTGTATATATGGGATATGTGGGGTAACAGGGTAATAACAGTTCTATAAAGTGCACTGAGTTCCAGGGGCAAATAGTGATAGAAACTAAATGTTACAGTTTATTCCATCTTCATGATTACAGACATTACAGGGCAGGGTGAGTAAACAAGGCAAATATCAAACTCTTTTCTCCCATTTTACCAGATACAGCATTTTGATGATATAAAGGTTCATTTAATTCACTGACTTGGGTTGAAAGCTAGCAACAGCAAATCTTTGCAATTTAGGATCTTCCTCCATAGTATATACTCCAAGAAACTTAATTATTGAACTATACTATGAGCTCTATAATGGTGTTCAGTCTAACATTGTTGAAGTTTTCACATCTTAATCCGAAATCTGACACCTCTTGTTAAGGCAAGGAACTGTCTGTTAAAAGCCTCCTTTTGGCTTACTGAGACCACCAGCAAGCTTAACAGTTAAGTTACAATATAAAAATAAAACTGCTCCCAAGCGTTGAAAAAAACTGTTGTGCTGGGATCCCTTTTCAGAGCATTAGCTCCCTGAGAGAAAACAGAGGTTCCATAACCAATTGCTGTCATGAGCAGTGACCCCAGTACAGTGTACCTAATGTTCTTGGCAGCATAACTCGAGGTCAGGCAATCCTGATCATCCTGACATGTTTATCATTATTTATATAATAGGAATATTTAAAGCTGATCCCAGATGAAGTATTGCAACCATAATCCCAAGAAATTCAGTTTTAGCACATTGAGTTCCTGCAAGATGCCAGAGCAAATGAGAAATCATCCCAAAGCAGAGTGAGGGTTCATCATCTTTTACAAGTGAGAGGAAAAAAAAATCGAGGAGGAAATAAAATAACTCCTTCCTAAACTCATTAAATCGATGGCCATCTTCACAGCCTTCACAAAATCCAGAGTGCTCAATTTCCTTCTTTGAGGAGTCCATTTTCAAGGTGACTTTCAAGGTCAAGAAGAGCTTTCAGGCTTTTCTTTGCCACGACCCATGAACTCCAGTCCTTCAATAGGAATCTCCTTCTCCTTTATTGCTTTCTGATGGGAGAAAATACGTGATAAAGGTCAATATGAAGCTTACTGGCTATGTGACTTGGAGCAAGCCTCAATTTCCTGTCTGCAAATGGGATAAAGACAACAGGAATTACAGAATTACCCTGAGGTGGTTTTGTGTTTTATTTTTTTAAATTGGGGAACAGTGTGTCCTTCCAGGACCATCAGCTCCAAGTCAAGTAGTTGTTTCAATCTAGTTGTGGAGGGCGCACCTCAGTGCCCATTTGGGTATCGAACTGGCAACCTTGGTGTTATGAGCACTGTGCTCTAACCAACTGAGCTAACCAGCCGCCCATTTTTTGTTTTTTAAACTTTACTGGGGGACGGACATGATCATTGGTTACACACCGTCCCCATGCCACAATGGTATATAGTTGACTCCCCTAAGGAGGGCTCAGCTCACAGTGGCCCACGCAGGGATCGAATCAGCAACCCAGGTGCCATCAGCACAACACTCTTAACCAACTGAGCCAACCGGTCACCCCACCCTGAGGATGTTTTAAATTAACTGGGAGTACCTCGCCCACTGCTGTCCTTACATTTCAAAGCAGTTTCACATTAATTGGGCTGGAATGAAAATTTCCTAGCTGGTCGAGAGAGAAAACAGGCCAACGAAGGAATTATAACAAAATGAAACCCTTCATAATGTCTACCTGGCCAGAGAGAGGCTAACAACCAGCCTTGACCCGGAACAATAATAGTGGGAAAGTGTCCCATCGCAAAAATCAAGGAAACTTGATTCTAGTGAACTTGGTCTAATCGCTTCCTATTTTGGGTGTGAGTGTTCCATTTTTATTTTTTTTCCACTTTTAAAATACGAAGAACTACGCCCATTTTGTAAGTTCAAGAGCACCAAGCAAAGCAAAGAATATTACCGTGCTTCGTAAAAAGTAAAACACTGCAAAAACATTTACCTTTGTCATCTGGAGAGAGCTACCAGGCAGCTTTAGTGGTAACGGCGGGGGTTAAAGAAATGCCGCTGGCCTCACTGAGGCTTTTCTTCACCCTCCCCGTTCCAACCCCCGCAAGAGACGAGGCCTGTGGCCGGGACACCGCAGAGAGAACGCGGGGCTTGGGGGTCGAGGCGAGGGCCGTAGCTCACCTGAACACACTGCTGGTAGCGCTTGAAGAGGTCGGTGCACGGGTCGCCGGAGCTGTCCCCCTTGAGGAACTTCTCGGCGAACCAGCGATTGAAGCACTGGTCATACTCGCGCTTCATGTCGGTGCAGCCCTCCCCTACGCTGTTCATGGCGGCGGCAGTGGCGACGCACTCTGAAGTCGTCACTCTTAGGCGCGTCGCTCGGCTTTGAGGGCGCACTACGGCGGCCGAGAAGAGAAGAAATGTGGGCGCGAGCTGTGTGGCTGGGCCTTCGGGCCCGGGTGGGCGGGCGTCGGGGCTTCACCTCCGAGGCAGACCCTCTGGTAAAGGCCGGGGGATGGAGGGTGTCTAGGCGGGTGGTGAAGCAGGTCGGGAGGCGGAGGCGGCTCCACCTGTGACCCACGCCGTCCGCCTCATCTGCCCCCGCTCACCCCAGGGAAGTGGCCGGATCACGGCGGAGGTGATCGAACACCTGGAGCGTCTAGCGCTTGTGGACTTCGGCAGCCAAGAGGCCGTGGCACGGCTGGAGAAAGCTATCGCCTTTGCAGACCGGCTCCACGCCGTGGACACGGACGGGGTGGAGCCCATGGAGTCAGTACTGGAGGACAGGTAAACTCTCGGCCGCGGCCCCGAAGCCTTGCCTGTGGCCCCTTCGCAGCCATTTCAGGTGGCGATTAGTATCTCATTTTCCAGAAGGAGAAAGAGCCTTAGGCGAGATGCAGGAACTTGCCCCTGGTCACCCCGCTGGTAGTGGTTTCATTCTTTCCCCTAGTTCATTATAGATCCTATCACTCCCGTTTAAAATCCTCGAGGCCTCCCAGTGTAACTAGGAACAAGGAACAAAATGCAAACTGCTAATCATCACCCTCGAGACTGTATTTAACAGAGCCCCTGCCTACCACTGACATACAACCCTTATCAGCCCAGCCACATTGCCTCCTTACTATTTCTCCAACATGCCAAATTAGTTCTTTCTCTGCGGTCTTTGCGCTTGCTATTCCCTTTTTCGTGGACAGTCTGTCTCTTTGGCTCATCTCCTCCGAAGGACCTCTCCTGACCACCCCAAATCCTCTCTCCCCTTCGAGTCACTAAGTCCTTATCCTGTTCTAATAATTTTCTTAGTTTTGATTTGTTGTGTCTCATGTTATTAGAATGCAAGATGTCTGATTTGCTTACTGTTGGATTCCTGTCTCAAAATTTATTATTTTTTTTAAAAGGTTTTTATTGGGGAATTGGGGGGATGGGAACAGTGCTGGGGAATTGGGGGAAGGGGAACAGACAAGTTGCTGTCGTTTTGTTCTTCAATCTAGTTGTGGGAGGACGTTGCTTCACTGGCCCAAGTTGGCACCATCATTGCGCTCTTCCCGGGCGAGGCACATCAGTCGCCGGCTTCTGGACGGCCGCTCACTGCGGCTGCTGGCCGCTCACGGCGGCTGCTGGCTACATACGGTAGCCCATGGCAACCCACTGCCACAGGGGCTGCAGCCTACGCCGTCGCCGGCGACTCATGGCAGCCCAGCTCCAGGTTGAGCTGTTTTTCAGCATCTTAGCTGTGGAGGGCAGTGTCACTGGCCCTCATATGTGGGATCCGAACCAGGGCCCTCTGGCGTCCCAAGCCAGTTCTTAACCATCGGGCCACTCGGCCGGCCCTCCTATCTCAAAATTTTAAATGTAGATTTTCTGACCTAGTGATTCCCTATGGAAATGTCTGTGAATGTGCATCTAGATGTAAGCACAAGTGTCCAGGTTATGCAAATCTGTTCATAATACAAAACAACAAAACCCCCGTGTCCTTTGTGTCATACAATAGAATACTCATCAGTTGTTAAAAATAATGGAACAAATAACTATTAATACATATGCTGGTATGGAAAGGTCTCCAAGATATATTTAATAAAGAAGGCAAAGTTCAGAACGTTGTATATGGTATTATTGATGCTTTATGTGTAATCTATTTTACATATTCTGGTGTATGCATTGTTTTGTTTCGTTCCCTGAAAAACCATGCAAGAAACTGTTAGAAACAGTGTTAGAGAAAGTACGAATGCAGACGGAAGTTTTAACTTCATTTTATACCAAGGACAAATACCTAAGGGGGCAGAGTAATAACAGAAGTAGTGAAGTAATGTAGTGTCACGCAATAGGGAGGGGCAGGTCTTTGACAGACTAGCTTGTGAATACTGTAATAAAAGAGTGCAGCCTCTACCCACCTCTACCAATTGTTGCCAAATCTTAATACATTTTCAAAGAAAATGCTCTTTTTTTGGAAAGCAGACTTGTTTGCTGTTTGGGACTGCAGCTTCTTAGGATGGGTATGTAGCTCATAAAGATAAGGCAATCTACAACTCTGCCCTAGCCTTTTCTTGAGGGAATTAAAAAAAATAAACTAGTACATGTGGGAGCAAGAAAGATTAGCTGCCATTAGTTAGTGCGAACAGGGAGAGCCAGACCTATCTGTAACCATAATGTTGGTGTAAAGTGCTTGCTAGCCTCCTAGTCTTGTCTTTGAGTCCTTCAAATTCTTTCTCTATTTTGTAATCTCATGCTCAGATCTAGAGGGTTAACCAATTTGTCCAAAGTTGCAGTGTTTCAAAATAGAAATCTGATGGCATTCACCTACTCAAGCCTTCAGGTGGCTTCCCAGTGCTCTTTAGGATAAAGACAAAAGCTTCACCATGGCCTGCAGGGCATCATTTAACCTAGGCCCTGCCCACCTCTCCAAGACAGTGCTGTAACTTTTGAATTACTTGAGCTCGCCATTATTTTTTCTTCTTAGAATTCTGTTTCCTTGCCTTTACCCCCCACTTCCTCCCACCCACTCTTTCTTTGCCTAATTCCTTTCTTCAAATTTCAACTGCCACTTCCTCAAGGTTTTCATTTTTCTATGTTGAATCAGGTTCCCTTTCAGGCCCTGTGGCTCTCCTGGTATTCCAGAGCTGTAATGTCACATGTATTTTATACTTCTATTTGATTCTCTGCCCCTCTCCCGCTCATCCATGTTCCAGGGAGCATGTCTGTTATTGCTTATGTTCTCAGTACCAAGCACTGAGCAGACACTAAATATTTGACTGTTAATCATCTTTGGGAAAGTAATAGAAGTACAAAGACAGACTTACACAAGTCATTGAGAGGATAACTAAAGAAATGCAACTATTTATTACTCAGGGAATACTTTGTGGGGGATTTGGATTTGGTAGCTGGAATAGTGCTTTGGTCTTCAGTAATCTGCAATCTTGCCATTAAGTTTAGAGACCAGTTTGGGTTAATGATTCCAGTTTAGGGATATGACATTTTGTAGGACTTTCACGTTTTGAATATACTGCCTCAGACATTTGAAATGCAACCCAGATAAGTGTTAAATGGTTAGGTGATAGCCACACTCGCTGTAAAAGCCCTGACTGGCTAGTAGAAATCTCTTGGCACAATAACTTATCATTTGGCTTGAGCTTAAAAAAAAAAAAGAAAAAAAAATGTGTGCTTACGTGCTAGGCACTAATATTTATATACATTAACTCAGCTATCTCTCCCTGGAAGATAAATACTAGTATCTCTTTTCTAGATGCCACTGAGGCTCAGAAAGGTTATGTAACATGTGCCAGTTTCACAGGCAGTAAGATTTCAGGATTTGGAACTCAGAGTCTCTGCTCTCAAACACTGTTTTAGTTATGCCGTCTAAAGTAAAACCCTGGAAACTTCTTTCATTTCAATCCAGAGTCTGACTCAGATGAAGTCCTGATTGCAGCCAAGTACTTCAATGCTTACGATCTGAGAGCCTTATTTGAACCAAAAACTCTTGGCCAGATTGATTAGTTTTCATTCCAGTATGCATCAGGGTAGAAATAAAATAGAAAGGAGGGCAAAGGCTTGTAGATGAAGTAGAGTGGTGCCCAGAGAAAGGACTCCTGGCAACCTGATACCAGGGAAGGGGCAGAAACTGAAACAGATCTGGCCCACTGGTCAGTCCAAGGGCCGGCAGAGGCACTTCTTCCATGCTGCTCTTTTGCTGTCCGCTAAATGCTTTCTATTTGCATTTACCGCAGTTACTGTCTATGAGCTTCAGAAGGCAGGGATTTCGGGTTCACAGTTGAAGCCTTTCTCAACCAGGGTTTTTCATCTGAACCAGGACACAGAAAGATCCAAGTGACTCTTTTCAATTCTCCCAAGAATAGTTCATAATTAAATGAGCCCAGATACATAGAAGTTGATTTATCATCAAAATGGATGTCCTATGGTATTTGGACTAAATTCTCTTGTGTAACCCAGACTGAGAAAGGTGAGGTGAGGTAGGCATTTTAGTCAATCAGTAATTGATAGGCACCTAAAGAGCTCAGCAGTTCCTGTTCTGTGTTTTATGTATGATTCTGAGGCCAAGAAAAGTTCAGCGGTTTCCCAAGTGAAGGGTCTGCTTGATGAGCTACTCTCAGAGACCCTGGGATCAGTAGCCTATAATTACAAAAAAATAGGGAGGTGGTGGGTTTATTCTAGAAATAACTTCATCATAAACAGTAACTAGGTGGAAATGTGTAATCTTTGAAGGGGTGAATTTTGTTTTTCTGGAAATGTCACTTCCAGTAGGAAACCTGATTACCAAATGAGTAAATAAATCAACTGCTTAAATTGTTGGGAAGCAATACCTTTAACCACCTGTTAAAAGGTAGTAGAGTCTTCATCAAAATCTCCAAGCCCCCAGGAACTATTAGCAGCCTCCAGTCTGTAGGGACTAGGCAGGCTAAGTGTGATTACAGCAAGTTAAGTCCACAGTTACACTCAATGAGTGGTGGGGACTGAGATGCAGGTACTATTCAGCACCCACCTTTTATGGATATGAGGATGCAGCCCAGCATTATCAGATCTTTTGTAACATCATTTAATCTTCCCAGCAATTCTATGAAGCAGTCTACAAATAAGGAAACCTATACACAGAGAGGACAGTCATTTGCATACATGCCACGGGAAGGTGGCTGCGGTGAGAAAAGCACTCATCACTAAAATTTGAATTCAGCTGTGATTCAGGAGCCCAGGCTCTTAGCCATTTGTCATACTGCCCAAAAGAAATATAAACTCCAGAAAGTCCAAGGGTCACCTTTATGGATGATTTTATTTTTCTCCAAGTTTTTGTAAATGAATGCATAATCCTTATATGGTTAACAAAAAAACACAACTAGTACAACCTTCACTGTTTTGGCAAGAAACTTCAAGTCTGGAAAGATCACACTTGTTCAAGGTCACACAGTTAAGATAGCGCCAGATCCGGGAATGGACTCCAGCTCTCCACTCTTTGTATTATGAATAAGTGTTTATTGTGTATAGCCTTAGGCTGGCTGCCACAAAAGAAACAGAACTAGTCCTTTCTTCCCAGATGTTTGTTACATCCTTGCCCCTTTGTCCCATTAGGTTGAGCTCTAGGTCTATGTCTGGCTCAAAGCTGATCCCCTATCAGTGACTGAACAGAGACTGCATCTTTTTCAGCCCAAATATCTGGGAGCAGGCTCAGACCTCTTGTCTTGCACTTTTCAATCTTGAAAGAGTAGTGAAGCCTCACAGATATGTTCAGCTCCTGTTCGGTTCCACTGGTTTGCTTATCTGGATACTTTAATGAAGCCACTAGGCTCAGAGAACAGTGGGCGATTCCTGAGCTGTTTGTGGTACATCTTGCAAGGGGAGGCACTTTTATGTCCACAAAGGTGGCTGCAGTGAAAAAAAGCACTCGTCTTAGAGTACCAGAACTAGGCCCAGATCCCAGTCTTAGGAGCTTAGGTACTTAGGAGCTAGTACCCTTAAGTCACTTATAACCACTCCTGAGCAAGTTACCTGCCAGTCTATTTCCCATCACCCCAATCTAGCTATTTTTTGCCCATCCATTAGCAGTGACGTCACCTACTCTGAGTACTTGTTCCTCACCCAGGCTGGGTCAGGTGCCCCTCCCTATTCCCTTGGCAAGCTGTGTGCACCTCTGTTAGATTTAAAACATTATATTGTAATTGCTTTTAATTACCTATCTTCATCAAAAGCAACTTATAGTAATCATCCAAAAATATTTATTAAACATATCAATCCTAAGGAATAATGACCACTTACCTCACAGAGTTGTTGGGAGAAATCTATAAACTAATATGTAGACTGTCATTTGGTCTTCTGTTGACCATATCTCCTCCACCATTACAAGAACATGCTGCCCCCTTGTTCTCTGAGAAGGTAACCTTAAGCCTCTGGTTTTGTAGGTGTCTGTACTTGAGATCCGACAATGTGGTAGAAGGCAACTGTGCTGAAGAACTACTACAAAACTCGCATCGAGTTGTGGAGGAGTATTTTGTGGCCCCTCCAGGTACGTGTTGCCCCAAGTGGTTTAACAGCTTGTCTCACAGTGAACTAAGAACGTAATAGGAACTGATTCCCCAATATGCTACGTGAAAGCACTTTTAAAAAGTATAAAGTGGGAATTAGGTGTAAGTGCTCAAAAGGTACAAAATTCCAGTTATAAGATAAATAAGTTCTGGGGATATGATGTACAACATGATGACTGTATTTAACAATATTGTATCGTATACTTGAAAGTTGCTAAGAGAGTAGCTCTTAAAAGTTCTCACCACAAGGAAAAAAATTGTAACTGTGAGATGATGGATGTTAACTAATCTTATGGTGGTAATCATTTTGCAATATATACATGAATCAATGCATTATGTTGTACACCTTAAACTTATACAATGTTATATATCAATTATTATCAATAAAATTGGAAATGGGAAAAAACCCATGTATTAACAATTTTTAAAAAGTATAAAGTGCATATAGATGGTGGCATTACGGTGGCAGTAGAGTCCAGGGGTCATGTTCACCTTTAGAGGCCAGTTGCTAACAGGAATGAGCAGAACAGAACTGGGGCACGGAGCAGTGTGTACATTAGCGAATCTGGAACTCAAACTCTGCCTAAAGGGGCAACTGGCATTCACTGCTTCTCATTCAGAGCCAGGCAGGAATGTGAGCCCATTTTCCCAGAGAACTTGGAGATCTGGCATTTTGTGTGATATTTCCCAAATTTTAAGTATTGACAACTAATTCAAAAAATTTTAAAATAAAAGACCATGCAAATAAAACATACCTGCAAGCCAGGTGTATCCTGTGAGCCATCAGTATGCAACCCCTGGTGTGGAGATTTGCATCTTTAAACCTCATTGCAACTATTTTAAATGGAAGCTTTAAAATAACTCTGGGCCAATAATAAAATCCAGAACCTTGGGTGGGCTGAACTCTGCAGATAGGTGGGTCCTCAGAGCTTCTGCACCCCTCTGGATATTTGGGAATGTGACTAGTTAGCCTAACCACTCAGGTAGACAGCTTTCCAAGCGCCAACTTCAAGGTCAGGAGATGCCTTCAGAGGAGAACCATTCTGAACAGCCTCCAGAAACAAACATCAGCCCTCCAGCTCAGGGGTTACCTCTTTGATCAAAACTAACCAGTTAAAGAAAAGCTTTGGTTATGGGATGTAAAGTACAGTAGAGGGAACATGGTCAGTGGTATTGTAATAACTATATACGATGTCAGAGGAGTAGTAGACTGGGGGGGTTATCACTTTGTGAGGGGTGTAAATGTCTATTATGTTGCTTTGTACATCTGAAACTATAAGAAAGAATGAAAACAAAGTGTAAAAAAAAGAGATTAAGACTTAAGGCAACTTGGATAATGAAAAAAATAAAGCTCTGGTAGAAGCAAGGATGGAAAGGAAAGCTAAAAAAATTGTGAACTCAACTCTTAACCATGCCTGATTCAGATTCACTAAATCACCTCAGTCAAACTGTGGAAATAAGATTTTACAATCTATCTCAGAGACTGATGGTTGTCACTGCTTCAGGAGGCACACCCACTGATCACAGGCTAGTTCTTAATAGAACCTGTGTCAGACATTGTTTCTTGGGACAAAGTGAGTTCAGTCAGTCTTTCCTTCCAGTCCTATATGCATATAAACAGCTAATTAACCTGTCTGCTCCTTATTGAAAAGTGCATTAACTAGGCTTCACTTGTAACTGTGAGTCTTGCAGATACTCATAGTTAGAAAAACAGGATAGTAGCTAAACTTATTTCCATTGCTTATTTTCCATGACAAACCAATTGATGAGTTAGTAGAGCCAGTTGCAAAGCAGGCTCAGCTATAACATCCTTTTTTGTTACTGTTTTCAAACAGGTAATATCCCTTTGCCAAAGCTGGAGGAACAAGAGCCCTTCTCACATCGCTGAGCAGCTATTCTGGGATGGGGTGCCCTATGAACACGTGGAAGCACGATAGTGTTTTGTTGTTATGAACACTAATGTTCCCACTTCCTTCAGTAACCTGAAAAAAATTGATGGTTAAGTTTTTTTTTAGTAACTAACTCTTCAGAAGACAGAATTGGGAAATACCTAGCTCAAGCAAGGCAATGAGTTTCTGACGCTAATGGAAGCAAAAGGTATTGTCAGTTTCCAAGGAAATGGATCAAGTATTTACTCACAGTTTGTTCTGTTTAGAAGACATTATCCCCCTTTATCTCATCCCAAAGACTGCACTTAAGTGAATTTTTCTATCTATGTGACTGGTTGGATTTGGTCTGATCATTGTGTGACAACTTAAGCTGTCCTTTTTAGTTGCTGGTTGCATCAACCTGAGCAGCCTTTTATCTTGACTGAACACACTTGAATTTGTTCCTGGGTACACACTTTGTTCTGGATAGGGCTAGCTTTCTGCTAAGGTCTGAAGAGTGTTCAAAATCAACTACAGCTTGGGTACTCCTACCTAGAACCACCCACCATCCCACAAAGTGATGATATGCCATAGGGATACTAGCCATACCTCCAGTTTCTCTTTCTGAAAAGAACTTATAAAAGTAATCCTGGCATAGCTAACACTACTTATTGTATATTTAAAATGTGCTGAGAGGGGAGCTCTTATGTTAAATATTCTTACCACATATATATAATAAAGGAGTAGGGAGGCAGTGGGTATGTTTATGGTCTTGATGGTGGTGATGAGTATATGCTTAATCCCAAACTCACTGACTTGTATACTATTAAATAACTATAGCTTTTTACATGTCAATTATAATTCAATACAAGTGGTTTTGAAAAAAATAGCCCCAGGTCTGGGACAAAGTACATTCCCTCCTTACCCCAAATGATTATTGAATTAATAAGCAGAATCCAAAATGGCGAAGGTTTTTAGTTTGTTTTGTTTTTTTAAAAAGCTCAGATACCAAGGATAAATGAGACAAATTAAAGTGATGGAATCATAACTTAGATTTTTAAAAAAAATTTTAAATTTATTTTTAGCTGGGCAACAGCTCAGTGGTAGCCTCAGCTTGGGCTGGGAATCGAACCCACGACCCTGTTGCTCAGAGCTCACACTCTTGAGCAAGCTCTTAACCAACTGAGCCACTTGGCTGGCCCCCAAATTTGGTTTTGGCTAAGAATCTCCCAGTGATCTTCATGCTGCTGCTCACTTATAAAAGTCTGTTTTTATTTTTCCTATTCCCTTCCCGTATCTGCAATGCTCACTTTCCTGTTAAAGTAGCTTAATTTACAAGCTTGGTCTTAAACTATTATAAGAGAACCCTGAACCTACCCCTGGGATTGAAGTTCTCAAACCACCACCATCAGGGCAACTACCTTTATCCCCAAATAAAGTTATCCACTCCTGCGCCTTACCAGTTGGCTACAAGTTGCCACTACAATTCAGTGATTGTTTTTTGTTGTTGTTGTTGTTGTTGTTTTTTAATCAGTGTGCCTGTTTGGTGAAATCTATGAACTTAATCAAGGACAACCACACATGTCAATTACTAAACATTTAAAATATATTTCTAAACAGAATGGGCCAACTCAGTCACAGTTAATGCTGATCTCCATAGCAAAGCAACCCACAAAGACACAGCACTGATTTTTAACCCCCAGAATTAGGGGTAAAAAATATACAACTTGTTTCTGAACCAAAACCACACTTTCCACAGTTGAAAATGTTTCACTGCTAATATGGCCCTGGTAGAAATTATGTAGTTTTCTTAAAAAAAAAAAAAAAATTAAAAAAATTTACTAAGTCACTAAATCACCAATCTGGAATGTAAATTCTGAGCACAAAGCAGCTCAGCTCACCTAAAAAATAAACAAAAACTTCCCATCACCTGTTTCAGTAGGGCCTGAAAGGAGAGAAGTAGTGTGGGGAACCCCTGCTTTGGTGTGGAGAGTCACGGCCTCTTGACCCAGACCGAGACCGTGAGTAGCCATAGCTGGTGCTTCTCTCCGGATAAACTCGGATGTAGGAAGCTTCACCCTGAAATTCAAACAAAAAAAAGGAAAAACATCAGACCTAGAAGAAGAAAGCATACCAGCATCTACAGGGCTGCCTAACATTAATAGTTAACTACTGAGCACTATTTGCCTGGCATGATACTATCTCATCAAGCCCTCATAATAATTCTGACGTAGGTACTCATGGTAGCAGTCCATTTCAAGAATGAGGAAAACTGAATGCCATCATATGCCTAAGACAACACAAATAATAAATGGCAATGTGATATGTGGTAAATGCTCAAACACTAGCTACTACTGTTAACATACTTTAATTACTGCCACTGACCCATAGAATCCAAAAACTGGAAAAGATCTCAGAGGTCATATATATAGTTCAGTCCCCTGTCACTTCATATATGATATGCATCTTTCAATGGGTACCTATGGAAGTAGTTCACCTATATTCAGCATCTCCCAGGTATTACCTGGCCTAGATGCTCTTGTTATTTTCATAATTTAGTTTCCTGGCAACTTATTTTTTAATTGGGGAACAGCCATGGTCATTGATTACACATTGCTTTTATGCTACAATAGCATAGTTGACTCTTTTAAGGAGGGTGCAGCTCACAGTGGCCCATGTGGGGATTCAACCGGCAACCTTGGTGTTATCAGCACCACACTGATGGAGCTGACCGGTCACCCGCTGGCAAGTCTTATAGACGGTGCTATTATTCTATTTTGCCTATGGAAGAACCAAGGTTGAGAGTAGCCTGGCTAAGCAGCAGAGGAGTCATGTTCAGGCTGGCCTGTCTCCAGGTCCTTTGCCCTCAGCTAGCATTCTCAGATCTAAAGATGCTAAGATGAAAGAAGCCAGATGCTTTCCTAAGGTGAAGTCAGTAACTGCATTTACCCTGAGGCTCTGCTGTGCAGTGTAACTGACTAGGTACTGTTTAGTTTCTGTTCCAAATTGAAGTCCTAGGGGTCAGTCTGAGCAAAAGCATTGTTAAGCCATGCAGCCTCCAAGCCACAAAATTAGAGAGTTATATCAATCTTTACAAAAAGAAATGGGCGTAGAAATTGATGTGGGACTAAACCCCACTGCAAGTCAGGACAAAATAGCCAGAAAAAAACAACTGGTGGTTTAATATCTGGTCTCAATGGTCTCAAAGGGATAGTCACCATTTGAATCATTTTGAGATATCCAAGGCAGCAGCCACCTTCTTGAAATGAAGGACATCAAGAACTAAGTCCCCAAGGTGAGGTGATCAACCACAAGAAAATGCCAAGGTCCCTCAGGTTTCAGAAAGGCTCCTGTACGACTTTGGGAAAGAAAAGTGAATTTACAACTCAGCCCCAATGGTAGTACATATAGAAAGGCTGAGATGATAAGGTTGGCTTGCAGAGTCCAGACTAGACCCAGAGGAGGGACAGCCACAATAATTAGGTTCACAGAGGGACAGTGCAGATTAAGCCAGTTGTGTAAAGGATGCTATCACAGACTAGCTCACCACATTACAACAGACTGTATTCTCCGGGTTAAAGCTACTATGACTGCAGACCTCTGTTATGACCCGCAGGCCTTAGGCATGATGAATTCCTTGGTGTTCTCCACTTAAGCTAGATCTTTAATGGTACTGTGAGGTTGTCAAATGGCAAGCGCATGGCCTGTTGCTACTTCTGCTAGGTCAGCTTCAGGTGAAGTGTTCTGGTACAAGCTCAACAGAAGGTGGGGACCCACCTCATGAGAGCGGAATTTGGTGTCATCCAATTTACGCAGGGCATATTCCATGTCTTCTTTTCTGAGATACTCAACCATCCCCATTCCATCCTTCTGCACATCTGCATAACAGACGTCCCCAGCTTCTCGCATGTGATCCTTCAGGTCCTGCCAGCTGCCTGATGGAGGAAGCCCTAGGCATGGAGAACATAAGAGAAGAGGCCACCTCCTTCAGCCGTGTTAACTGCCCTGTTAAGAGCCAGCAATACCTAGGATCCTTTCTGCATCAATCTACTTCTAAATCCTGAGGGTCCCCAAATCACAAATCTTGATAAGGAACACGAAACCAGAGAAAAGCACTGAAGTATGTGTGGTAAACCACCTTAAGAAGCTGGTCCTAGGCTAATCTTCCAGAACAAGCCTTCCAAACACAGCAAGAAGTCCATCCCTTTATAAGTTTAGTATCTCTGGGAATTCATAGCGTCTTTTTCTTTGTCCTGCATAATACCAAATTCCCAAGACTTTGAGTCCTAATTTTTCCCGTTATGAAATTTAGCAGTACCAATGATTTATTGCCTGACTGGGTTCCCAGGATATGGGAATTTAGAAACCATCCAATGAAATGACCAAAGTGTAGCAGAAGGTAAAAATAAAAATCTCAAGTTTGTTTTTTTGTAGGTGTGAATAACTGACAAACTAGACGAAGTACCTCTTAAAAGATCACCAATATTCTTCACTACAGTTGGGGGGAAAGGTGAGACTCAGACGCTAAGACTGGTTGGGAGTCATACACCCCTACCTGATGTCATGAAAGGGAAATGTGCTCCTGCTCTCAAAGGCTGTGTTTACTGTTCACAGCTCAGGACTGCAGCCATTTCCTAATAGTTTTCTAAGCAGGATTTCAGAGCAGCATGGAGAGAAAAAAAGAAATGTATGACATCCTGAAGGAGGGACTAGAGTTCTGGGGTTAAAAAAAAAATTACGAGGGGACACAAAATTGGCAGATACTGACAGTATGACTCTTAAGCACCAATGGGAGTCCTCTGTGATTGTGTGACATTCACATCTAAAAAGGTGCCAGGCTCCATACATTTCACTCCAGCAGGGCTGTAAAACACCCCTGAAATGTGCAAAAGGCCCCAGATCTTTACCAGTATTAATATTTTGAAAGGCATAAGCCTCTGAGCTTAGCATTTCATCTCTTGTCAACACCAGACATTTAGTTCTACACTTTGTAATACAATCCCTAAGACTCCAAGTTGTTGTTCTAACGTAAGTCCAAAACCACCACAAAATCTGGCCTTTTTCAGGATCTCAGGCTGGGTAAGTTGTTCAAATCTGGCTCCTGGAATACCTTTTTATCAAGTCCAATTACCATGGGGTACACTTCCAAAGAAAACATCTTTAGAATTCCAGTACAAGGGGTTTTGCCATCATCTCGCCGCTCTGTTATAAGGAGCAAGTTTATGTTCTACCAAGGCTGCACTACCAGTGCAATTTCATTTGCAAGATACCTGCCTCACTGGCAAGGCAGGGCAGGGCTTCAGACTGTCAGTATGCACAAGCTATGAAAAATAAAGCCCCACGTATCCCATGCACTGAAGAATAAAGCTAACATTTCTTGGAGGCCAGACTGTGCCAAGTATTTTACATGCATCATTTCATTCAGTTTGAAAGGAACATACCTGAAACAAGAACTCGGAAATCAGATCTTGTAGGAGGCCCATTCCTCCCACCGCGGGGCCACCCACCCCGACCTCCATAAGTCCTGGGGAATTCCACACGAAGCCGACATTGGCCATAATCATAACCATTCCGTCCATAAATTGCATCCTCAGCATCTCTGCAAAGAAAAGTTTGGTGTTAGTGGTGCTCAGGAGGCTGACTTGACTTCCTAGTGAGGGGTGTGAGTAACAAGCATCAGAGAAAAGCCTAGAAAGAGAAAACAACAAGACAAAACAGGATCTTGGTTTGAAGACCTTTCATGATATTGGAACTAAACTTTACAGCTGTCACATATAGGGTTTTCTAGGTATGAAATGATAATGGATAAACAGATTACTTATAAGACGACTAATTAAAAAAAAAGAACAAATTGTTGATAAATGACTGATTTCACCTGTTTCTCTAACCTTGGTGGGCAGTTTCTCAAAATGCATACCACACATTAGTCCTTTAATATTTTCCAAATATTCTACAAAGCCTAGTAGCATCAAGTCTATAAAGAGAAAAATCCATTTAAAAAGAGGCCCAAAAGACAAATGCAATTTAAGTGTTTTGTAAGGAATACAGAACTTTCAAGTGTACATTTTCTGCATGGTTTGGAGAAATTGTCAAATTTCTCATACAGCACAGGGAATATAGTCAATAGTATCATAATAGCTATGTATGGTGTCAGATAGGTAGTAGACTTGTTGGGGTTATCACTGTGAGGGGTGTGAATGTCTACTCATTATGTTGTTTTGTACACCTGAAACTAAACAAACCCCCCCCACACACACAATTTCAATAAAATTGATAAAGTTACTTTTAGTCATTCCTAGGGCTCTGGAAGAAGTAGGAATGCCAACTTGGGTCTCCAGTATTGGATGGGAGAAAGAATGGCCTCAGAGCTTGGATGGACAAGCAGAGCTGAAGATACACTAATGAAGGCATCATTCAATGTCACAGGCACATAATCACTTATCAAGATTTTAGTCACTGGATTAAAAGCAACAAGGACCACATCCAGTGCAACCCTAGCTATATTTATAATGCAATGGGAGAGAGGCGGACTTGCTAGGATTTAAAGCAGACTTTGAATACAAATGGTAATCATTCTTCTACTTACTAGTAGCTATCTCTGGATAAGTACTTAATCAAGTTTTTACATCTCTAAATGTAATATGTCTATCTCACACGGTTATTGTAAGGATTAAATAAGATACTGTGTGTGCAGTGCTTTGCTTGAAACTTGGCATTTAGTGATATTAAATGATAGCTTTTCTCAACAAGACCAATAAGTGTTGGGAGAGGCTGTAGAGAAAAAGGAACCCTCATATGCTGTTGGTGGGAATGCAGATTGGTACAGCCACTATGGGCAATGTGGGGGTTCCTCAAAAAATTAAGACTAGAATTACCATATGACCCAGCAGTCTCTCCCCTGGGTATCTACCCAAAAAACCTGAAAACATTTATCTGTAAAAATATACGAGTATGTGCTCCAATGTTCATTGCAGCTTTATTTACGGTGACCAAGACATGGAAACAACCAAAGTGTCCTTCAATAGATGATTGGATAAAGAAGATGTGGTATATATACACAATGGAATACTACTCTGCCATAAGAAAAGATGAAATAGTGCTATTTGCGACAACATGGATGGATCTTGAGATTATAGGCTAAGCGAAATAAGTCAGAAAAATTCAAGAACCATATGACTTGACTGGTATGTGGGACATAAAACTGAAAGCAACAAAAGAACAAGACAAACAAATAAACAAAAACTCATAGACAAAGTTTAGTGGTTGTTACCAGGGGGTAAGCGGGGAGAGGGTGGTGGTAGAGAGTAAAAGGGATCAAATATATGGCGATGGAAGAGAACTGACTATGGGCGATGAACACACAATGTGATATAGTATAGATGATGTATTACAGAATTGTACACTTGAAACCTATGTAATTTTACTAACCATTGTCATCTCAATAAATTTTGATTAAAAAAAATAGTTTTATTAAAGAAATGTGGGAAGCGATAACAATGCAGCATATTATATATTAAGTTTGTATTCTAAAAGCACAGAACAAGGGGTTCAAATCCTGCCTTGATTCCTTACTAGCATTCTCTTTTATTAACTCTCTAAATCCTGTCTCACCTGTAAAATGTGCTTATAGGTTGGCAAAAATGCTAAATAATATAAACAAAGAATGGTACATGACACATGGCGACCACTCTAAGACCACACAGGAACTGTTACTAATAGAGGTGCAACCTTCTCCAGTTTAGGTGTGAAAATGCCTCGTTCTATCTTTGAGGCAAATGGCAATCAAACCCTCAGGGTGCTTCCTGCCTCCCCATCCTCGGTTGCTCTCCCTGCCCCACACAACCACACCAGATGGACAAGACACCTACAGTCAGTCCTTAGAGCGAAGTCCGCAGGGCACAGACTGGTTAAAGCGTTCCCTGCGACAATGCTGGAGAACAGCGAGCGGACTGACCACTACAATGCTGTGGCTTCTAAGAACCACCGACCGCAGTTCCTAGGTCTTTTCCGGGCCGAGGGCCCGCAATGTTTGCAAACTCACAAAGACCCCTTTGAGCTGGAATCAAGAGCTTCCAAACGCTTGGGGCATCTAGCGGTACCTCTCATTAGAGGAAGGGAGTGAAATCAGAGACGCCCCCCGTCCCCGACTGTTTTAGTAGTTTTTCCAAATCCCTGACGCTTTTAGAAGGACAAGGCCCTGGCCTTGAGGGACGGGTCGCGCGCGCGGACGGAGATCTGTTCCATCACAGAGACCCCTTTACGATCTCCTGAGTCCCTTAAAGGCGAGTTCGGGCTGGGGGGAGGGGTGGGGAGGGAAGGCGACTGGCCACTCCCGCTCTTTACCGAGCTGGTTCAGGGGCCAAGGTTCCCAAGCCCTGGGCCGCTTCGCCTTCGGGGTGCCTCTCCAGCTGCGTGGGAGAGAACGGTCATTTCTACCATCCCTGAGGCCGATCTGGGCGGGCTTGGGCCGTCCAAAAGCCCAGCTATTGTGTTTTTCAAGTAAAGTAAAAAAATAATAATAGAGGAAGTGACGACGGCGCAAAGGACGGCCCGGAGCCTGTGGTGAGCCGAGGGCTCAGCCTCCACCCGGGGGCGCCCTGAGGGGTCTGCGCTGAGGGGGGAGGGGAGGCCCGAGAGGAGGGGGAGGGAGAAGGCTGCGGCCCGGGCCTCGAGCAGGATGCCCCGAGTGGATGGAGCGGTGCCTCACCGGGGGTCCTCGAAACGCACGAAAGCGAAGGGCACGAGACCGTGCCGGTTCTTGAGCTCGATCTCGCGGATGCGGCCGTACTTGTAGAACAGGTCCTCCAAGTCTTTCTCACGCACGTCGGTCGGAAGGTTCCCCACGTAGATGCGCCCGTCGCCCTCGCCGCCGCGCTCCTCAGCCCAGCCCGACATCCGCACCGTCGGACGCCGCGGGCCCGCCGCAGCCCACGTCGCCGCGCCGCCGCCTCAGCCGGGGTCCCCCCGCAGCGTACCCGCGGGCTTGGAGGCGCTCAGCCGCACTGCATTGTGGGAACGCGGAGCGGAAGAGAAGGGGTCGGAGGCGGCAAAAGGAATCCTCTTAAAGGGGACGCGGCTGCGAGACTGCGCGTGCGCACAGGACCCTTACACTAACCCCCCCCCCCNACTCCTAACCAACGTGCCACTTGGCCAGCCCGCCACCCCCTTATCTTGGCCCTTCCTGATTTGCCTCCACCAGCCTCTCCTGATCTGGTGCTTCTCCTCTGCCAGCTTCTCGAGGATCTGCTATGTCTGAAGCCTGCACTAGATCTTTGCAGAGGCCACTTCTTCTCCTTGGAACATTGATTTCTCCACCTCTGCCTCTCCAGTCTTTCCTAGCCAACCTTCCTTGGCCTTCAGGTCCCTGATTGAGTTGGAGTTCAGTGGTGCCAAGACTTGTGTGACCCAAGTCTAGAACTTTCAGTGTATACCTCTGTAAGGCCTAGTTGTCGCCTAGTGCTCCTTGCATTCCCTGAGTACTTTTTCTGGTTGATTTGTCTGAGCACATTTTAGAATCTTTTTATCAGGTTCTGTATGGCATCTTATTGGCATTTTAATTGGAATGGTGTTACATCTATAAGTTTACATAAGGAAAAATTTTTTTCATTCTTACTATATTTGGCCTTCATAGCCAGAAGTATTCCATGTATTCACACCTTTTTTTCTTCTATGTATGGCTTATAATTTTTATATTTATTGAAGTCTGTGTATCTAGCACTGTGCTAATACCCAATGACATCCTGTGGTGTTTTTTTTGACATCACCTCTGACACCAAATGTGTCGTTTCTCCACACCAATTTTCCAGAGCCAACTCAATGTCCTACAATTCAATTCTGACACTACTTAGAGTTAGTGCAGACCCCCATAGGTTAAGGGCTTAGTCCCACAAGACTTACTGTCACTTCAGACACTGGCCACAAGTGGGGCTCCTAGTCTACCCACACTTCTTACTGGCTGACTACAAATTTGGGGGTTCCTATAGACTGTTCATGGATTTTCCAAAATTCATATGTTGTCCCAGCTGCCACACTGGCCCCCACTGGCCCACTCTCCTCAGTGACCTTTTGATCATGTGGGCCCCCACTTATAGCCTTTCAGGGCTGGTGGTGGTCTCAGGATGGAGTCCTTGTGTCTTTTTTTTTTTTTTAAGATTAAAAAAAA